TATATATATATATATATATATATATATATATGTTTCCTCTAGTCCAAAAATAATTTCAAAAAGAAGGAGTTACTCACTGTCGGTTGTTTCCCAACTTAGACCGCCGACAAATAATTTCCTGCGAAGTACAAAAGTAACAAGTTAAAACTAACAAAAGTAAACGAAAGGAGTCTTTAGTTACTTTAGTCACAGAATCGAGTGTTTATAACGAGTAATTTAGGGTTCATTGTTAAAATAGAAACGATTATTCTGGCTGTCGGCAAGTTCTTAAATATCTGCAACTGCGAGCAAAAAAGTTATCTGCGGCAGAAACTGTACAACATACAGCGCGTGGCAATGTGTCCACGCCTCTTTCGCGAGTGACTGTTACAAGCTACGTAACAATTCGATCAAAGATGTAAAGTGTGCATGTAATATCGTCGCGCGCAATTCCTTTTTTTTTTTCATTTTCTCAGAGTCCATGGTTACGACAGAGCAAAAATAAATGAAACAAATAATGAAAATTGAATGTACCTATCGTTCAGAGAGTCCTGGTTACCGCTCGCCGACCTGCAAAGCAACGGAACGGATTTTTATTTCACTAAATTCTTTTAATATGTTAATTGATATTAAGAATTTAAATCGAAGCAAAAATTTGACTTTTGATAAACGAAAAGATTCCATTTATCGTTGAAGAAAAAAAGAAAAAAGAGAGAGTATCGACCCCTGGAAATATTAGAGAATCAGTGTCGAGTTATGAAAAAATTGAATGCAGACGATATATGCGAAAGAAAAAAGAAATAAAACAGAGTGTCATTCGCAAAAGGGGCAATGGATCGAAGAGATTCGGGCAGGGAACTTTATTTAGCAGGTACGTATATATTGCTTATCGCATACGTGCAAGTATATATGTGATATATCTATAGATATCTTTAAATTTATATATCTACGGACGCATAAGTGTAAACTACAGCTAATTAGATCACCTATATGGAAATTTAGAAAAGACTTGTTACGGTAATAAACACAATATTCGCAAAATCCGAAGTCATTGCAAAAATGATAATATCGTTTCCTAGAACAAATTAATGAACTGGTTGGATGAGCTCGTACGAAAGTTGTCAACGACAATATGTCCTTTATGATATGAGAAATAAAAGTTATAAAGTAAAAATTATAAAAAAACCATTATACGAGAGGTTTGCTTTGCACATCATATAGTCCTTGATTCGAACGTTTGAAAAGCATATACATATATTCGTTGTGAAATTAGTAAAAAAAAAAAGTAATAAAAAGAAAATAAAGAATTTAAAAAAAAACTAATAAAAAAGAAAGAAATAAAAAGTTAACTCGAAAACCAAAATACATATGTATATGTGTATATATAATATATATATATCACATATACATGTGTGTATATATATATATATATATATATATGTGTGTGTGTGTGTATGAGTGTCAAAGTTAACGCATCGAGAGAGCAAGATACTTTTTAATCGACGTGAACACACGAGCAATAGTTACAACTCCAGTTGAAGTACAGCTGCTCCTAAAGAAAACAAGATTTAACTTTTCCAAGTAGTACTCGGACTGCTGATTGATCCAAAGAATACGGTAGGAAAACTGCAACTATATCGAAAAGCTAAAAAGATTTGTTTTCACATTACAAGTTAACAATAAATAGTGTTTGACACTTTTGATTAACACATCTATGTGCACACAATGTATCGGATATTTATTTCTATTCAGTATGTATGTGTGTATATATATATATATAAATATATGTATGTACTATGCATATGCCACATGTATGTTATATACATATATATGTATATATATATTTTTTATATACATATATTATGTACACACATATATACATATATATATATACATATGCTTGTTTCTCTCCTCTTTCTCTCTCTCTCTCTCTCTCTCTGTCTTTCTTTCTCTCTCTCTCTCTCTCTCTCTCTCTCTCTCTCTTTGTCTCTTTCTCTCTTTTTTTCTCTCTTTCTGTTTTTTCTCTGTGCCTTTCTCTCTCTCTCTCTCTCTCTCTCTCTCTCTCTCTCTCTCCCTTTCTTTCTTCCTCCCTCTCTCTTTCTCCGTTTCACTTTTTCTCTTTACGCAACACTCATCGACAAATGTACGATAAATGCACAAGGATTATCTCGAGTCCCGATATACTTTTTGGTCCATTTCAAATAATATGAGCTGCAAGCTTTGTTTTCAATTATTTTCCTGGCTGTATAGATTACATTCGACATTTTCGTAAGAATCGCTTATGGCTGGTGATAAATACCGTGGGCACCAGTCACTCGCCGGTAATGTCAGTTGTTGGTCGGATCACGGTTAGCCGGTTGCGAGCCGCCCGCCATAATCGCACCGGGTCGTTTGCCACCTGCAGATCAAGCCACATAAACTAGGGTTAATGGCATTCCGACCTATTGGACATTTTCATATTGGCCCTAGTAATTCTGTGCTTTGGTTACGCCCAAACGGCATTTGTACACATAGGATCGGAAATTATTCTACGCGTGACGCAGCAGGCAAGTGTGTGTCTGTGCGAAACTTATCGATCTGACGAAATTTGACTCGATTTCCAGTGCTTGTGCTGTGACGAAACGTGACGGACTTGAACTTGACGTAGACTTCTCGCAATAATTCAGACTCAGAAATTATTGCATAAGACTTCATACGGTTCCCAGGTAAGCATACGTATTGTCAATCGTGAGCAATTGACTAATCAGAATTCAGGCTGCAATAAATGAATGAGGACAGAAGACTCTCAGCTGGCCGAAAAGTGCACATTCAAAAGTTTACGCTCTATAAAAATATTAGGATTATTATATATTTGCGTGACGTTGTATACACAAGTCTGATCAGTTTGCAATTTCCCTCTGTCTCTTTCTCACTCTTTCTGTTAATCACACACACACACGGGCGCGCACACACATACACACTCTCTCTCTCTCTATTGCTATTACTTACTGATTGAAACTGTAATTACAAGTAATTAGATAGAAATAGGAATAAAATATTTACACAAAGTTGCAAAATTTCAAGTGTGGCAATGACAAAAATAAAAGTATACTGCGCAAGAACACAGCACATATTAATGGTACATTATCAAATCATCTATGTCATATATTTTTGACATCTTAAGTTATTCTTGTACATTTACAACATGCAACATTTTTCATTTGAAAATTCTTGTTTACCAGAGAAATCTTGGACTGTGAAAACATTGGCGTTATTCACTTTCGTTACTTTGTACACAGAAGTCCCTCGGTATATATACACGTCTATAATTACGATTAAGAGGAAGTACGGCTTCAAATTCGTAATCAATAAATGTATTTTTCTACACTCTTGTAAAAAACTTTATATACATGTACACTCGTGCGAACGTGACACACGCACGTGCACACATGTAGTACAGAACCAATTTGTACGAAAATGTAGAATTTGAAGATTACATCCGCTTTTTCTGCGAAACATTTTCTATAGCTCCACTGTTTAATCTAGTGATGCTTACCCTGCTCACTAAATTTTACCAATACTGGAACATAATCAACAAAAATGAAAATAACGCAAGTTTGCGAAAATCCCAAGATGTAGGTATGCAAAGATTAGGAAGAAAGAAAATACAATATTTATTTCTATAAAAATTATGTGTGACTGAGGAAAAAATCAAGGCGAGAGAAAGAGAGATTTCTACATAATACATATCGCATAATTACGAAATATTTACACAGATTAGAGTTCAACGATATCGGTTCATCGGGCAGTGAAATTCATCCATCTCGAGACCTCGTTACGCTGAAATGGGGTCGGAGGGAAGGTGAGAACACAGTAGCGGGCGAGAACTTACAATCTATAAACACATTCGAGAAGCTGCGGCGATTCTCTCTCTCTCTCTCTCATGATAGCACGTGAAAGATCATTTTTTTTATTTAACACCCGTGCGATTCTCTACTCCTTATTACACTTACTCAATAATTGAATTCTCACGTTACTAGTAACTCACACGCGGAACTTCCGCTCGTGAGGTTCTCGGTCTTCTGTGTACGCATGTTGTAACGGAAGTGAAGAGCGCGGCCAAGAGACACGTGCGCAAAATTGCGCGGCTCGCGGTCGAATTCTCGTATGCGCCATTTTATCGACATATATACACAGAAAGATATTGTCCGTCTCTTACGATGCTTGGGCGCGCCCTTGCCAATGCTTCCACTCGTCATTCTTATACTCGATCATCGTGGTCTATCTTTGGATACTTTCGACAATGGGACGCGATCGCGCGAAAAACGACGAGCAGCCGCCGATGCGACGCGCCTAGGCGAAACAAAAGGTCGGAGTAGTCGAAGCATAATCCATTCACGTCGTGCCGATGCGAATGGATTAATGCTTCGCGCCGGTCCGCGTATCCCGTCTCCGCCATTTTGGCGAGCGCGCAACGCTACTACGCGCGATGCTAACGCGATGTGCGATAAAAGCGCGAATTCCAGAATGTTCGCACCATAATGACCGGCCGCGCGCGCAAACAAAGAAAGAGAAGATTCAAATCACCTATCTTCCTGCGACTCCTGACCATTCTCCGCTGTGTCGCCGTCGCCGGCACCGACGCTGCCGTTACCGTTGCCATTGTCGTTGCCGCCGTTCTCTGCCTCGCCATTCTGCTCGAAACTTTGATCGCCGATATCCTCGCTGAAGTCCTTGTTCTCTTGATCAGCCATTGCGTTACTTATCGACGATTCAACACACAATGTTGAATCACGGCGTCGCGACAAGCGTTACTAATGTCGGACGCACTGTGCGAGTTTATTCCAGCAACACTCAACGCGTATGTATTCCTCGGCTGCCGAATGGAGAAGAAAGCGCCTCGCTACGATCGTAGGCTAGATCCTACCGTGTGCAGCTTCGGCGCGCATGCGTGAGCGCGCCACGTGACCGGCAGGCTCGGACGCCTTTTGGGGGGCCATTTCCTCACTGCGTGCGCGCGCTAACGTAACACCGCCGGGTCTGTCTTTTGTTCCTGCGCTACGCTAGTTCTCCTTTCGTCTTTTTGCTTGGGAAAGAGAGGAAAGGAGAATTAGTGTAAGCCAGGAATACAGATTCGTGTGTTTCGCACCAATTGATTATTCCTCTCTCTCTGCGTAAAATAGATCCGGCACTGCCGATGATTGCACAGTGTTTACTTGACGGAGAAACCGCCCTCACTTTCTTCAACATTTTGGCCGGTTATTATACTTAAGACCGTCTTAATCTTCAAATGTTTCATAGTCAATGAACCGTATGAACAGCATCTGAAGATGAACTTACACATAAGACCCATTCGTTGGGGAACCAACGATACCCTCATTCATGCGAGATGTGTACGAGACTGCCAAAACGTCTGTTACAGCGCATGCGAGAATCTTTCCTACCATTTCCTTTTTACACGATCGGCTCTTTCGCGCGTGCGGACGAAACGACGAAAACGTGGCTGCATTTCGTAACTTTATTTAAACCATCGTTCTAACTCTATACACAAGACATTTTGTCAAAAATTGATAGATATTAAGTAAATAATTGTACTGTAAAGATATGTATGCTATACACACACACACACACACACCGAAACTATTCTGCTCGTGTGAAGGGGTTAAACTGAACAGAAAAGTACTCTGCCATTGTGTAAACAACCACGCAAAATTCCGAGTTATTAATGATTTAAGATGTATAGAGGATTCTTTAATTAATAACTAAAAAATTAGCGTGAAAAAATATTAATAACTAAATTAATAACTAAACTAATTAATAACTAAAAAATTAGCGTAAAAAAATTTATACATGTTTAATAATTTAATCACTTGAGTGCGCGCCTATCCCATGAATGGTACACGCGCATTATTGCGCACTCTTGTATCAGAAAGAACTAATTTCTTCGCTAGAAATGTGTTATTTAAAAAGTCACTAATTTTACGTTTTCAATATCAAGGAATACAAATTTTATACCAAAATTAAATCATTTCCAATGTACTGTCTAATACGCATCTTAATTTAGTTTATTTCTTTCTTCTACATTGATTTGGGGATCAGGGAATTATACTTTTGTAATATTTGTTTTTGCAATATCTTATAAAACAATAAACAAGAGGATGTAAAGTCCTATCACCTCTTCGTGACACAGTACGAAATCACCAGAAAATCCACGAAGGTGCGCTTATAATTTTTAAAAGTGTTTATGAAAATTTCATTTGACTCAATGAAGAATATTCTATTTTCAGAGATAAGGTATTTTTCTTTATACAGAATCCGTCCTGTCGCTTCCCGTGCGCTCATTAGCTCATACTATATATTAATTAATTTCTCGTATTTCCTCATATTTCATATTGCGAATTTTGTAAAATGGATGTTCACTCACTTTATCTACACACCACGGATACAGGCACCCTGTATTTTAAAACAAACCAGATCCGCCAAATCGTGATTAATTGCATAGCGTCATCTAACGATGCCGACAAGATATTTGTCGCACCTGACGGGTTTGAGTATCGACTAAATATGGTTTGAATCTCAACTAAATGGCCCGTTACGGTTAAACCCGTTAATTTAATTAGTTCTAGAAATTCCGCTACGGGCCGCCACTATCTTCATTGGCAATACGACTCAATGACGAGTCAGACTTTTATTTTCAAGCAGTAGGACTCAAGTATCGACTGGATGTGAGCCCGTGTATATTTTCAGACGATACAACTGCCGATTCTCTAACTTTTAACGCGACGTGTCGATATCGTGATGATATCGTAGCGCAGCTTTTTCACATACCTGTCTGCGCAACGACATCATAACGAGAACGACGTTGGAGAATTGGCTATTAGTAGCAACTCATTCTTAACTTTGCTTTAATATTTCAATTAATTGAAAAAGTACTAATGTTGTTTGTCGTTGTTACTGCTGTATTCGATTTATGAATGAAATGTTATGAATAATTCAGTAAACGTCAACGAACAGTAATATCATAACGATGTTATAATTCGACGATGTTATATACATGCTATATTACACTTATATTATTGAACGAAAAATTATAACATCGTTGTAATGTTGCTATTAGTTGGCTGAATAGAGAATTATTGTTGAGAAATAGACGGTCAATCGGTGTTTAACAAATTCTTGATTTTTACTAATACACTACTTACACACATTAGTAACACTACATAAGAATATCATTTTGTTGAACTACCTCGGAACTTCTTTCGTCGGACAAATTACATCACACCTGGCGTTAAATATACGTTTAAAAATGCAATTGTATGTAAATGAAATATCCGATGCTTTTCGTAATACTTTACCGATTGTTTCGATTATGTCATAAAAACACCCGCTACATCGGTCGTCCTACTGCGTTTCGAAGAATTCTCTGTTAGGAGAAGCAACAATGGCGCGTAATTTTATTCATTTTCTCGTGATGTCTCTCACTAATCCTCATAACTTGTAAACTGTTAGGTTTCGTTTCCCCTCTACACTAGATTGAGGAAAAATTTGTGACAATCAACATACAAGATAACTTGATAGGAAACAGTAGCGAGAAATATTCGAGTTGGAGAAAATGATAAATTCATTGGAAGCAGAAAGGTTTTTTATTTCTGATACAACATCCTCACGAATAAACTGATACTTTTGGATACAATCTTGGTGCGCGTTGCTCAAAGTTGGTTCAATTTATTCCCTTTGCGATTCATTATTACTATGTGTATCAATAAAAGTATCAACAAATGCTGTACGTTGTAAGTCTCGATGGAGGGAAATTGATCACAATCATCTCTTATCATCCGATCAAATCAATATCAGTTACTAAGGAAACGCTTGATTTCGCGCAAAACCTTTATTAAACCAACAACCGAATTAATGATATGTTTTTATCGGAACAATATTTTCCAACGTTTCAATCGGAAAATATATCTCTCATTTGTCTCCATCAGACACGCGCGATAAGAAATACTTGAATTGTGCGAAAACGGCAGAGATCATTATTCAATGTTAAAATAGGACGGCAAGTGTATAACACGAAAATGAGAATTCCGAAAGTGACGTACAAGTGCGTGGATTAAGAGTCACGACCTCTCGTACCACCCTGCTATAAGCCCTATAGAACTCTGTCTCGTCATATCCAGTTACGAACGCACGTGCGTATCGTCGTTCCTGGATGCTTCACCTGACACGTGGCCGACGAATTTCAATTCACCACGGGTTCTCTCCACGGACGTAGGTGCTTGACTTTGTGACGGTCGTTGCGCTCCACTCGACCAGTTGTCGCTGTTAACCCGCCGTTCAACACGAGTCGAAAGAAAGAAAATCCAGAAAGCAAAATTTATAGGGCAAAATATTTGTATATGCGTTTCCGCGCGCGTGAAATAGGAAACATCGTAATAGGTCAAGCGGTATCGATCATAGCGGAAGGAAGAGGTCGGGAGACATTTTGCAATCTACCTCCTCGGATATCTCAATCTGGACTATTTTCATAATTATTTGCATTACCATATTATTTGTAATACAATATTTTGTCTTCTCCTGTTCTCCGCTAACAAACGCTCTTTTGTTAGTCTCACAGCTGCTAATAGGTTCTTCGATACACACAGACGTCAGCATTGTTAACTCTTATGATCTTACATTGACGCAGTGCGAGTATTTCATAACTCTGCAAAATTAAATTTGCAGAGCTCTCTCTCTCGTGCGCGCTCAATAACGAAAATATGATACTTTCGCGAAATCTTTGCGAAACATTTATGTACTCGTAAATTATTATAACGGTCTGCTACGGAAAAGACTCGACGTCTCAGCCAAATTTGATTTTATGACGACAAAATATTTCATTCCACTGAAATAAAATGCCAAAAATTCTTTTCTCGAAATAATAATCAGACTATCGACCGCCGAAAGCCAAGGTGTCTCTTACACAGCTATATGAGCTATTCGGTAGAATCGTGCCTTTCCATCGATAGGCACTCCTACCGTTCCAGCAAACTGCCGCCCACGCGGAGAATTCGAAATATTACTCGATGAGGTACCTCGAACTCGGTAACTCTATGAAAGAAGAAATTTCACTTGGCCAACATCATCCGTGAAAATCCCCCCCCCCCCCCC